TTAATCTATCTCAGATAGGCAAACAAATTTTTAATGGTTATTTGCGGTTTTTTATGTAACAAATAACTATTTGAATTCAATATGGTATAGCTTTTTACATATTACAGACTAGCAGAACCCGCGGCTTTGCTCGCGTTAAAACAATTTTTTAACTAATTTTCATAAGGACTTATAAAAAAGTTGTTAAAATATCAAAAGAATATTTTCAATCACCTATGTGTTCATATTATGAACAGTATTTAAAATATGTGTAGTTATTCTGTAGTATGTGTACTGGTATATACCAGTTATCCAGTTCGCCACGTTTTGACCGATCTGACCTTTGAAATTCCTACGATATTCGATCGATGGTGAACGATGGCATTTGTGGTTCGGCTTTGGCTGTCTAGGTAATGAATAAGCAGTACCTATCGGTCGAACATCTTAAAATTCATAATTAAATTCAGAACAATTTGAATGATTCTATAAATAGCCTTATGAAGATAAGTTATAGGTATACTAAAATATGAAATTTCAAATTAAAATTACGTAATTAAAATATATGACAAATAATTAGATAATATAAGTATGAAATGAAAATTATGTCGATTTTATATAAATTATTTACAATGAATTTAAAAACTACAAATTATGCTATTAGAAAATTGAAGGTAATAAGCTATTTATTCACTTTAATTTATATATTATCAAGTTAAATCAATAAACCTTTAATACTTTATTATTTAATGATTTACGCAACGGCACTGTTTTTAAACAATTGAAATCTCGTAAAGTCTACATGATTAAGATAACATCAATACCATGCTTCAAAGTTATAAACTTAAAAATAACGTAAAAATCGTTGTGTCAAAATGGAGAAAATTTTGTGTAAATAAGTGCTAGTATTTTTTGTACCCGCCATGGGTAATACGAACTCGGGCCAGGGGCACTCCCGTCAGAATAGCAAAAGTAGAAAATGTAGAAGTCTGCCAACATCGCCAGAAGTGAGAAGGTAAGTAATTAATTATAACATCCATCTGTTATTTACAAACTTTCATTTATTAATATGTCAATAATCCATAATATATTATTTTTATTACATTTATATGAACTAGCATTACCCGCGGCTATGCCCGCGTTCAGATGACCAAAAACCTAATTCTTAGGTTTTACATATTAGTATACTCTTACAATGCAGCTTTTGTATTTTTTCTCAGAAATGAAATATTTTCCCGCGGTAAAAAGTATCCTATATGTTGACCACCATACCAAATTTCATCAAAATCCCTCCAGTACTTTTTCTGTGATGCGGTAACAGACAGACAGACAGACAAACATTCTAAAAACTGTAGATTCGGCCTCTGTATCGATAATAATGTATATTTCAATAAGATTTAAATAAAATGTACAAATTCGAATTAGTTACAATTTTATTATACGTATAGATGTTTACAAGAGAACTGTCAGATTAAAATAATGAGTACACAAATAAATAATCTAAACATATTTCAAATACATCATTATAAATCCATATATTCCAAGAATTGAACAATCAAAAGTTATAGCGGTGTTGGCATTAAGAGTCTTGCTAAGTCCCAACAGTATAATAATATCGAAGTGAAAATAGGAGCTTCTATTTAACTTAGCTTGCGTTCTAAAATTGGCTAAACCTGATTCAAGTAACAGTTCGTCGATCTTTTACGATCATCTGTATCATAAATATCGTAAAAGAGAAATATCTTTGATCTTATGTTCTTATGTTACTCGGAAGATGCATCTAAACAACGAAGGTCTGCCTTTTGTTATGCAAGGTGATATTTAGTTTATTCTTAAAAGAAAGTATATACATAAAACCTTTTTATTTGACACAATATGCCTATAGATTTAGTATTAATTTGTAATCAACAATTCTTTTTTTTACCGACTTCAAAAACGAAATGATCTCATCACAATGAGATTATTTCGTACGACCTACAGGTCTTATTTTATATTGTGTTTTATGGGATATTTTCGTGAGCCTATTTTTATTACACTTTTTTTTCATTAACAGATTATAACTCAAGATTGGTTTTAGATAAATTCCATGAAAAAATGTTCACCCCTAAGGACAGACATTTTTTTCTTGGTAACCCTGATCAGGTTTGAATTTCAAAGTCATTTTAATTTTGAATTATTTTCATTTTGTATTTTATATTATTGATTTTGTATTTTATAATAATATTCATTTTGTATTTTATATTTTATATGAATGATTTTTATACACGTATATTTTCATACACGAATATGTTAAGTGTATTTAATGCTTAGTAGTAATTTATACTACGGCATATTCCAAGCGTGACAGGTTTAATTTCCGAGCCGGTCGCCCCGGAAGGTAACGTCACGCGCGTTGCCGTTGATGTCCGATATTTGTTAAGAGAAAATAACACCAGAGTCACAAAAGGTGTTGTCATGAGTAATTGAATATAAATATAAATCCGTACTAATATTATAAATGTGAAAGTGTGTCTGTCTGTCTGTCTGTTTGCTTGGTTGTTTGTTTGTTTGTTTGTTTGTTTGTCTGTCCTTCTTTCACGTTGAAACGGAGAGACGCATTGGCGTGATTTTTTTGTAGAGATAGTTGGAGGGCTGGAGAGTGACATAGGCTACTTTTTACCGTGGGAATTTACCTAATTACCACAGGAAAACACTTTATAATACAAAACAAAAAATCAGAATTACTTGAAACTTGCTCTTCAATAAAATCAAATAAATACATGTTAAAGCATTTTTCGAAATTCATCCTATAAGAGGGTAAAATAGAGGATAAAAGTTGGTATGAAACTACCTTTTTAGAGATTTTTTTTGTAGTTTTAGCGCGAGCGAAGCGGCGGGTACTGCTAGTTTTGAATAAAATACATCCCACTAGTTAATGTAGATATGTTGCATTTTACATTTACTTGAAAGGTTTGCATGAAAGATTTTTTATTTTCTAATAAACTTCTACCCCTGTGGTTCCCCCCTATCACACGCGTGTCAAGTATCTGTTGCGCAAAGACATGTCAAATGACACATTGCGCGCGCGCCGCCAGATGTTCATTGTTTAGGTTTGTTCTCTTGTAAAGATACAAAGCTTTAATCACAAAGGACTAAGAAGACTGGATAAAACAATCTAAGCTAAGAAAAACATAGGCTCCTTCTCACCGTCGTGATTAAAGGCTACTGTTAAGTGATGCTTAATCACACGGTAAATGACTCATGTTTGATACATTTTGGAGATATACATTTTAATTATAGTTTTATAGAGAAAGTTTGTTATGTTCGAAATTATTGATAATATTTGTATAGGTAGGTACTACTAACAATTTCAAATTCTAGCTCATCTAAATTTTATACGCTAAAAGACGTTTACAATTAATGTAAAAAATCTTCCAAAAATAAGTTCAGTAAATACTATACGTATAGTATTATATTATGATCTGTGACTATACTTTATAACTGTGAAAATACGGCTACTAATGCCATCTCGTGAGGAGCGGATGTATTAAGAGCAAATAATTTAAAGCGCGCGCGCAATACATTTTTCAATAGTTAATTCAATTATTAGGAACCGATTATAAAAGTAAAAAATTATATATAAATTACTTCTTTCAATCTAATTTAACTAAAATATCATTTTAAATTTTAAAAACATTATTTATATATTTTTTGGGCTTTAGAAATTTGTGTAACTGTATAATATATTTCCCCTTTACAACTAATCATTTAAATCATTTTAACTGGTACGGACAGTTTTTAAACAAAAATATCTTTTCGGAATTCGCGAATTTATTTAGATTTTTAGTATCCGACGTTTCAAATGCTTTACAGCAATCATGGTCACGGGAGAGACAGTCTCGAAGAGATAGTTTTATTTAAAAATGTCAAATATTCGCGTATATCTGAGAAAGTACTATGGTACAGACAGCTTTTTTCATGATTTAAATCCCGTATCCTAATTTGCTAAGTGAAGCAGTCTGCATATTTCGGTACCTTCTATTTAGTAATTAGCTTATTGATACTTTGCAGACAGAGCTTTTAGGATGATTAGTGTCTATTTTAGATCTGTATTTCATCATCTTAGTTCATTACCTAATTTAATGTAATAAAAAGTGTAAAAATATAAAAAAATCTAACGTATTAAAATTAATTTTATTTGTGCACACGTGCTACCACTAATTGTCCAAAAGGAATAAAGTAAAATATTCTATTTTCAATCAATACTTTTGATTATTTCAGTCATATTTAGCGTACCTACTAAAAATATTAGAATGCAGACTGCTTTTCTAGTCGTCTATAGCGGGGACTGATTTCGTGTGATATTAGATATTGTGTATTTATTATTTATTTAAAACTATTGTTATTGATCAAGTTGACCTTTAATTTGATTTATAAACACAACCATAAAGAAATTAATCTTTCAAGCCGTATGGTCGTCATGCATTTACATGAAGCGAGTATTCCTTAACAGGCATGAAATATATTATCATAATATAGACAAGAATACTTGTATGTAAGGAGATAAAAGCACTATGACGCACTAAAGATTTAATGTTACGAATATACTTAAACCAAAACAGTTCATTTGTGCAATTATTGTAAATGTGATCGCTTTATCTCTTATTTTATACGCTAAACGTTGTAGCTACAACATTGTAGCGTTTGTAATCGTTACATTCATGATATAATAGTTCCTTGCCGCTAAATTATATTTGTTATCATATTTTACACTTATAAATATATTTAAAAATTATAAAAAAAATGTTATGAGAAAAATTAAAGTTTTCTTGTTATTTTTGTACAATTTTAAAATTTAGTACCTACTGTTTTTGCGGGTTTATATTGATTTTTGTTTCCCAACGTTATTCAATATGACAACATCCAAAGCTTTAGAGCCAAGATTGTCATGGGAGTAACTAAGGTTTTCCATGTCTCAAAAGTTATCATATAGTACTTTAATATTTAAAACTAGTTTATATTTATAGTTGGTTCTTTGTTCCCAGACAAGTGTCGGTGCTGCAGACGTCGATACCGCTGCCGGCGTCGGCGGCGGCGGTGCGACGCGCTCCGCCGGACAAGCGACCCCTGCCTGCTACTCCGATACATGGTGAGAGGTTTTAAATTAAATATGTCAGGACATTAACACAAAACACCATCTAGTTCCATGGTAAGCTACGAGGCTTGTGTTATGGATACCAGATAGTTGATACACTACACATATATAACTTTAAAATACATACATATTATAAATATAAACACTCATGACTGGAGTACAAACATTCGGACTCGAGGGACTCGAACCCGCGACCACTGGGGCAGCAAGTAGGGTCACTACAAACTGAGCCAAACGTGTCGTCAAATAATATAATTATAATAGGATGGCCTTACGGCGGGACTTACTCTTGCTTAGCTCGGGTACGTGCCTAGGTGCCTGACAGTAGCCTATGTGTTACTCCAGACCATAGTTTAGCTGTGTACTGTGTGCTAAATTTCATCCAAATCCGTCCAGTACTTTGAACGTGAAGGATTAAGAAACATGCACACATATAAACTATCGCATTTATAAAAGTAGTCAGATTAATACGTGAAGTGAAAACTTTTAACCTTTTTTAACCATACTACGTTACGCGCAAGTAAGAGTTTGAGTTATTATATAATTAAAGTTTATGATGTACTGCAGAAATATATAAAGATAGAAGAGTTTGTTTATCTGCACGTGCTAATCTTTAGAAGTGAAGTCATACTCGAATATTTTTTTTTGCATTTTATATGTTATGTATATAAATTTAATTAATTCAATCTTTTTGTCTATTTATTAATAAAGGTTACATACTCATATGTACGAGTATGTACCTATAAAGTGTATCAAATAGATTATTTCCTTTTGCATCAGATACTTGTTTATACCTTGTTTTGGCACTTTATATGTTGGCTCAAAAGTCTCATACAATATCGTATTCGCAAGATAAGTTAACAGTGGTCAAAGGTCATGGAATTCGGGTTTTTATAATATAACTGTAAGCTATATTTTTACCATTATATTTTATAGCATTCTGATTCGCATTCATTTGACAGGAAAAAATAGAAAATTCATGAAATACTCGTACACCTTCATCGCTTTCATCAACCTTTGTTCGCTTTCTCTCACACAGATGAAATAAATCTAAGTCAAGATAGCGAAAATAAATTTCCTATGGCAATCTGATAAACGTTAATAATCGCTTCAACTAAGTAATAAAACAAATATTACAGAAGCTCAAGCTAGGATATTACAGTAACTCAAATAAATTTTGAAATCATATTCCTTTTAGTTTTGGGTGATTGCTGTATTAATAATATTTTGGATTTATTCTACCTTCACGCACTTTCCTTGCGGTGCAGATTGACGTCAGTATCAAAACATTACGTGTTGACAATGGGTTGTCTACACCATAGTTTGTCAGTCAGTCGAGAATATATGTACATTCTAATAACACTTTTATTTACTCTATATGGGGATCGAACCGGTCATCCCATGAAATTAGCAATACCAATCAGTAAAAAAGGTTTAACTTTTAATATATACTAAATGAAACTTATTAAAAAAGCTTTTAATAATGTTATTTAACTATGCAAAGTTAATACCTAACTTAATACCTTTCACGTTGTGGAAACCGTCCTTGAAAATTCACATTTGAACTATAGTTAGTTTACGATATGATTCACAATGCTGTATTTGCACAGTGACAAATACAGAAACTACAAACAGACTTGCAAATAATGCTGCACTGCACGTGTACGTTGATATTATCACATACCGACTGCTGTGTTATTCTATTGTAAGTAAACTCAACTTTCATGAAACTGGTTTCATACTTTATTGGCTTTTAGTCATTTTAATTGAGTATTGCATAAACAATTTAATGTTTATACGAAATAAATAATATTTCATATATATAAGATACTAGTAGCATTTAAGATTTACGATCTAGTCATATTATAATCTTATAATACGTTCATAATTGTTAAAGTACATTTTAGATAGACATTCTTGCTATACCAATCGTATTAAAAACTCTTCTTTAAATTTACTTTGTTGTCTAAATAAAATAAAAAGAAAATATCTGAGAAAGCTACATTTCATCAGTCGTGAAGTAGCGCTTCAGACCACTTAGTGATGAGACAATTGAGTGAGATTGAGAGGAACAACATACCTAAAGCTTTATTCACTTAGTCGCTAACGTTATCCATTTAGAGTTAGGCGTTAAATAATAACTCATTATGAAATTAACTATAGTTATTGATATATTTAAATAATAAAGTATTACATGCTATATATAATATGATTTTTAAAGTGAACGTGCGTTCTTCTATTTCACAGAAATAATTAATGAAGCCGTGCTTTTCCTTCCTTAGATTGAGTAAAATAATATTTTTGTGAATATTAGTATTATGTATGTCACAAAATTATGCATAATAGGCATATTATATTAACGCAACTAGCATAGCCCGCGGCTCCGCCCGCGTTCAGATGACCAAAAACCAAATTGTTAGGTTTTACATATTAGTATGCTCTTAAATTGCAGTTCTTGTATTTTTTCTCAGAAATGAGACATTTTCCCGCGGTAAAAAGTATCCTATATGTTGACCCGGATAATTAGCTATGACCATACCAAATTTCATCAAAATCCCTCCAGTGGTTTTTACGTGATGCGGTAACAGGCAGATAGACAGACAAAAATTCTAAAAACTATAGATTCGGCTTCTGTATCGATAATAATGTGTATTTCAATAAGATTTTCCAAAAAATATTTAATATACAGATTCGGCTTAGTTAGAATTTTATTATATGTATAGACGATAAGTTTTAAGATTCGGTTAGCGTCCCTATGATCGTATACTTACGCGGTAGGCAGATGCATTGCCAGTTAATGTGCACTACTCGTCGAGCGCGCTCTTGTATGGCGATTGATAAAACCAATTTTTAAATAAACATGAAGTGATAGTGCTATATTTGAGTTGTGTATATAATAAAAATGTCGGTGTGAAATACGATATAATAGTTAGTGGTTCAAATATTAGAGAATCTGGTCGCAATTATATCTTCAGGATGGAACACATAAGTTTATTGTAAGTTTATTTTTAGATAATGCATATGTGGATAAAATTAAGTCTTAACACATTATAGAAGTAATTGTTGTTTAGTTATTCTATAAAGTTTTAATTGTAAAATGTTATTGTTTTTAAACTTTATTTATTTATAAATAAATAAATATGTTGGGACATTAACACACAGCACCATCTAGTCCCATGGTAAGCTACGAGGCTTGTGTTATGGATACCGGATAGTTGATACACTACACATATATAATTTTAAATACATACACATTATAAATGTAAACACCAACGACTGCGCGGGACTCGAACCCGCGACCACTGGCACAGCAAGTACACTGGCACTACAAACTGAGCCAAACGTGTCGTCTTTATTTATATTCAATACATTACGAATGTAACGTAAGTACTTAGTGATTATGAAACTTTTTCTGCAGATAAGAGGGTAGATTGTTAATCATCTTTAAATATTGACAGTTTATTAAATAACATTAATTTTGTCTTTATTTAGCTTTTGTTTACGTTATTCACTAACTTCATTAATTTAAATATGAAGTAGGTACATTTTTGGTGCTTATACAGTTCATTAGCCAGAGATGGTTAGCGATGATTCGCCGCTTTCTCCAGACGAATTCCTTGCTTATTAACAATCGTACCTAATTAAGTATCGTTAAATGCGTAAACTTTATTTAATTTTTGTATTATAAGTTTTATTATTCATATTTAGATATGAATTTGGTTTTTATTGTTGAAATATTTTTTTATACTAATTATTTTCTTTTGTTCACATTTCTATGTTTTGTTATTTGTCGGTTTTTTATGGATGTTCACCGATTACTCGAAGACGCTTGAACCGATTTGGAAATACTTTTTTGTTTCAAAGGGTATAACTTCCTAGGCGGTCCTATATAAATTTTATCGAAATCTGTCGAGTGGTTTGTAATAAAATCAACAATAAATATATTTTTTTAAATAAATAGTTAAATCGAAAATGTTATTAAAAAACTTTCTTCTTACAAATTACCTGCTTATTACGTCTACACTAAAAGTAGAAAAATAAAAACTTAAAAAAAAACGCCTACAACAATGGCCTACAATATTTTAATATATGAATAATCAAATAGGTATCGAATATCGTATTTGACGTAGGTATCGAAATATATTAGATTTGCTTGGCATTGGCTGGCACCGACTTCGAAAATATCTGATTAGATATCTATTCCAAATGAAAACCTCCGTTTAATTATTTTTTACATTTTAGTGCTTGGAATTCGGTTTTTATATTGAATAAAATCTTTTGATAAAATAGGCAAAGCAGGCTAAACGTAATGCTAAAGAGTTTCGATTGGGTAAGATAAGACGACATGTAATCTATTCTAGTATCCTTTCATTAGTCGATCTAGTTTACAAGTGGACGCTGTTGTTAAAGTGATGGATCGGCGAATAAACGGATGTTGTGCGCTTGATTGAGATTATTCGCTCTCATGACGCAGGACTTCCTTTTAACTCGCATACACTCACGTCGAATAATGTCTTCAGTCTTGTACATATATGTAAAGTACAATAATATTATAAAAAAATGGTCAAGTGTGAGTTGGAATTGCGCACCGAGTGTTTCGTGAACATAATACATATAAATATTTATATTGAATGAGCCCTTAGCGGTAGTCACTCTTGCGTAGCCAGTTTCACAATAACTAATTTCACGTCAATTTTGATATTTGGCTACCTACTAATTATAGTTTAAGAAAGAATCAAAAAATTAGGATAGGTAGATCAACCGAGTGGCGATGTAGGCTCAGTAAAAGGGTTCCAAATAGAACCTATACTCGCGGAACAATTAAATTAAACGAAAAACATTTAAGGTAGCTTATTTTTAAATAAATCAAATGTAAAATAATGTGTATCTATTATGTTATAAGTTCTAACCAGTGGCGTCTCATTGACTGTGATATAATATTTGTATAAAAGTAATTACATCTTGTCAATAACCATGACGACCTTCGTAGCAGTGCTACCGTATCAGACTGTTTATTAAATACTAGCGACTCACCCTCGCTTCCCTCGGGTTCGTCCCTACTTTAATTTCCAATACAAACTTTCATCTCCATTTAAACCCACTTAAGGGGCGATTTCCGGGATAAAAAGTATCCTATGTCCTTCCCAGGGTCTCAAACTATCTTCTTAACAACTTTCATCTAAATCGGTTCAGTAGATCCAGAGATTAGCCCCTACAACGTCACAAACTCACAAACTTTACCTCTTTATAATATTAGTAAAGAATCGCGCAGATAATTGTTAAATTTAGCTCTTAGGGTAACACAAATCGATTAGAACTGGGTTTCTATAGTTTTTCAACTTGACTTTATATAGATATGTAAACTAAGAAATTTACCTATTTAAAATATGCATTTCTAAAAATATCAATATCGATTCTCTATGAGTTGATATTCGTTATGTTGTGTTATCGTATGTGTAAAGCATATTATTGTGTAATGTTTAACACCGATTGTTAATTAATACGATTTTATGTTTTTTACAATATTAATACAAATTTTATTTAGAAAAAAAAGAAACAGTTTTATTCGATTAATTTTGTTTATTCAATTTCACTATCTAATAGTATCATACTATTTTTAACATTTATAAAATTAAATTAATTTAGCTGACGACTTTTTGCAATAAAAAATGTTTATATATTGTGGTATGATAAATGATATAGTAATGGTTTTGTGAATTTATTGAAAAAATGATACATACCTATTTGAAAAAAGGAAATGATTGCCATATAGACGAATTAATATGTATAGTAATTTAAAATTGAATTTAAAAAATCACGTAGGAATATTACAGCTGTAATTCTTTGTTAAATAAAGTACCTATGTTACTATGTATAAACCTATATCTAAATAAATTAATACACTAAAACAATGTTCCAAGTAAAAAGTTTTATTAAACAAATTATATAACTTTTCTTTAACTCACATTGCACAAGTCAGCTGAATTTATTCTATTGGTGGAGATTATATTTTCGTGACTGTTTTGGAACTAATGAAACTAGCTGACATTTTGTAGGCTGTATATTAATATTGAACACAGACTAAATAGTAAATAGTGCTTAATAGGTCGAAGGTACTTTGGAGTTTTTCCGATAGCAATCCGCTCAGTTTCAACGCCAATGAACATAATATCATAAAATTGTTTGAAATCAATATGCCTACTATTAAATTATTACGAGAAAAATATACTTAGTGAGTTATATATTTTATTTGGGATTGCCTAAAACAATTTTTAGAAATATATGTGTGGAAGTATGTGTCAACCAGTTATCGATATAATGATTAATAATTATAAATTAAAAATTTAAAAACCACCTACGCAAATTAATTGTTAGTTAACGATTACACTGGCACGCTCGAAACACTTTAATCGAGTAATCATACGCCAAAATTCCTTATATTATTTTGAAAAAGAGCTGATACTCTTACATTTTTGGACCGATATTAACCAAACATAGCGAAGAACCACCGCAAGGAAACTGGCTTTCAAATGAAAAAAACCGCATCGAAATCGGTCCATCCGTTTGAGAGCTACAATGCCACAGACAGACACACACACAGACAGTCACACACACAGACAGTCACACACACAGACAGACATCAACGTCAAACTTATAACACCCCTCTTTTTGCGTCGGGGATAAAAAAATGTACAGAAATAAAAATATATAATTTATTTACAATGGCTTCAATCGGTTGATCATCATACCTACTATTAAATTACATCACATATAAAATACAGAAATTATTCGGAAATATATCATTGAATTGTACTCTTAATTATATACATAATTCTATATTGTCATAAATAAATTTTGTTTTGAATAAAATATTTGATCATTTATGTATAATTTTTGCTCTAATAACAAATACATGAGCTTTCCCAAAATAAACAATGTTGTTTCGAGTAAGGAAAATCAATAAAGAAACTGTTTATGGCTTGTGCCCCTATTGTCTTTCCATATGTGCCAAACTAGGGTTCTATGCTCATATGCATGACGTCAAGTTATTATTATTTTTTAAACATTGCACCGATCAATAGGGCCAACCAATTTCATTTGGTCTCGAATGGTCAGCTGTCTGTCCCTTAAATTGGATACTTTGGTAAGGGTCGGAAAGGGTCGCGTAGATCAAAATAAAATTGTTTACAATAGCGCATTATACTGTTTCGGTGACCTAACAATCAGTATACCGTGATCCGTATGCGGGCCACCCGTGTTGTATTAAATATACCATTGTACTTATCGTTAAAGTTGACAGGGTATAGATAAAAATATTTACTAAAGGATAACCTTTTAGATAAGCTTTTATTTGAGGTATTTACTAATAATTATTATTTTTTACAGGGGGAAAGAGTGGGTTTTCGGCTAGTTCAAGTCGGTCAACAAGTCCTTTGGGTCAAGGAGCAGTCAGCTTTATTCCTCGAGCACCGGCTTCATCATCAGGGTTTGTTTTTATATTTCTTACAAAGAAAGTAATTATATATATGGTTTCGTAATATTTAATTTAGTAAATTCAAAGATCAAAATAAAAATGATCAATATTTTCATTGAAAAATAATTTATTTTTCTTTTTCAGATCAAGACCTAATTCATCATTACTAGCTCCTGGTAGTAAAATTCCGTCGACAATAACTCAATCTCCTCAACATTCACAAAATATAAGTAGCCAAAATGGTACACCTACAAAACAGTCTATGCTAGATAAATTAAAACTATTTAACAAAGACAAAGTAAGTAGTGAAAAACAAAGTAGTAAAAGTACAGCCGTATCGAAGCGCACTAGTTCTTCCAGTGGTTTTTCATCTGCAAAGAGTGAAAGATCAGACTCTAGTTTAAGTCTCAATGAATCTACCAACGCAACAAGTACACATATCAAATCTTCTAACTTAGTAGGACCTAAATGTGTGAGACAACAAAACGATATTTTATCAAAAGACAAATCGGCTAATAAACATGTTAAGTCAAAGTTAGTTAATACAAAAATTACTAAAGAACCTTCGACGATAAGTAAATCTAATGTTAAATCAAGTAGTAATGATAAATCAAGAAACAGTCCCAAGCTACCAGCACGAGATAAAGATTCAAAATTAGCAGCACCGAAATCTGTTAGTAACACTAAGTTAAATCAAATAGAAGATCATCCAAGGAGTTCTAAGAATAAATTAGAGCCAAAAATGGTGAAACCATCTGGGAGCCAAATGAAACTAACTGATCAACGTATGGAAAATACCGCAGATGCCAAAACTTATGAAAACACAAAACATCAATCTAATCAAGTCCAATCACCTTCACAATCTAATGGACCGCCAGTACCATTACAAAATCATACTGGAATTCCTAAACCTACTGCTGCTGTTAAAGGTACATCGAAAATTTCAAAAGACGAAAGACATAATATTTTGAATAAGAGTACAAATAGTCAATTAAGTCCTATACAGAGCAACTCTAGTTTAAATTCTACAAATAATGTGAATGTCCATCCGTTTTCTCGGGAACAGTCTAATGTAAGCAAAGAAGTATCTCAAAAACAAACGTTAGCGGTATCTCCAATGCCAGTCGTTAATTCAGGTATTCAAAATCAAAATTCACAAATGTCAGAGAGTTCACATTCGAATTCGACCCATAGCACTACTGGGCAACAGTCTAATTCTAGTGATGGCAGTGTTATATACCGTCCATCGAGTGAATCGGGTTCTGAAATATCAAAAGGAAGTAATATGACCTCAAACAAACGACTTGACATGAATGCAGCTTATATTAACGACGTTATCAATGAAGCTGAAATATCAGAGAAGGAAGCCGCGCAAAAAAGACCTAATGACAGGTCTGCCCCAAAACCTATATTTGACCCTAATAAGACATTAACAGAATATGAGAGGAATGATAGTCGCTCAAGTACGCCTTCGCACTGTCGAGATAATTCGCTTGGTGAGGAAGAAAACCCTTTAATGAACGTTTTGCCAATGAGACCTTTGCTGCGTGGTTACAACAGCCATCTGACACTGCCAATGCGAACATCAGGCTTAGGACAGAAAAATGTTCCAGGATATACCCACCACGCAAATACTGTCAAAGCTAATTTCGGAAGGGAAAACATGAGTTTACGTGAGCGTATGAATTACGGGGCGGGGTTTTCTAACCCCGACTATTGTGACCTTGAAATTGCCTCCGGCTATATGTCCGACGGCGATTGCTTGAGAAGAATAAATGTAAGCGAAATGGACTGTGGACGGAACAACGATATTATGGATGGATATATGTCTGAAGGTGGAGCATCACTGTATGGTCGTCGGATGAACTACCAGCAACCTTCGCAGTTCCAACAGCTCGATGAAAGGTATTTAATTTTTTTTATTTTATTAATATATTTTTAGATGAATCTAGTAAAATATCTTGAAAACAATAGGAGGCAAAAAATGATAGCTAAGTTCGTTGAGAGGAGAACTCACTTATAATTGAAATTAAAACGCTCCCTGCAGGCATGAGATTCATTGCCGTAATGGGAACGCGAGAGTTATGTTTGCGCTTTTATTATACCAAAAGATAGTATTTATCGTATATTTTAAATTCAAATAACTTTTAGGTAAATACGTTTCTTTAAATGCAACAATTAACGCTTATATTGACAATATTGATGGATTAAACTAGGTACTTATCATTTTAAAACATTGTTATGCAATCCACAAGTGGTTGACCCGCCTCCCTTATTTTCAAATAAAATCTTTTGAACTCGTGTGTGTGTATGTGTGGGTGATGTATACTGAAAGAATTTTATTCTATTTAATTTTTAAACAAATATTATATATAACTTTAGTTAATTTACAAAAATATTTAAAATCACGATATATTAACCTTGTTAGAAATAAAAAGAATATAATATAAATATTTTAATATACTTATTAAAATGACTGAACATAATCTTTTTTAGTAGACCTAGTCAGCAGATTTAGAAAAATTTAGTCTCGACGTAAAAATCTTAAAATTTGTAATTATAAATTAGTGAAACTTTAATAGGTTTAATTTATAATACACATTTTTGATATATTCTCATAATAAAATTAGAAATTGATTAAACTAATAAAAATTAAATATGAAAGAGCATCCCATTTAAGTATATAAACAAGTCATGGTCATGAAACTATTGATATTATTTGGTGTGGTATTGCGTTGACAGTTTGTTAGTATTGAAGCATCCGTGGTGTACCGACCTCCTCTCAGTGAGGACTCATATGGCGCACTCACACTGTCGCATCGCTAGGGGAGAGGGCGAGGAGGCCAAAATCGATACTCCTACGTCTCACCGTCCCCCGCGCACTATTTACCACGCCTCGACCCTAACCACCCCCAATAGTAACACACGATTCAGGACCTTATCCATTACGGCATAGAAGCGCGCTTACTTCGCAAAATAATTACATTTTAACATTTTACTTTGAGTTTTTTTATAATCGTTACTGTAATGCTAGGTCTGTTTATACAATATATCAAGCAAACTTCATTGATTCCTCGAACAGTGAGTATAGGCGCCGAGTGAAAACTAGTTTAAATCCATCAATCGCAAGCTATTAATTGTGATGAATTATTTAAAATAAAAAATGTAAGATTTAAGCGATTATGTAAATGGGTAGTGGAGCCGCTGCGGCGTGCCGTACTCTGCCGGCCGACAACGGCGGCAGCGCGGGCAGGGCGGGCGGCACTCGGCGCCGCGCACTACGGGCGTGCGGGCGCGCCGTCCGCCCGTGCTTTTGTACACACGTGACAAACTTTCCCGATTTTCTATACGGAAAATGTAAATCTGTTAACGGCATCGATCGTCCCGCCGCCAGACGCGCGCTCGAACTCGATCACAGCTGGCGCCGCTGATCTGGACCGCGCTTAACAAAGACTTGACGAGAAAAGATCGCGCCCCTCGCGAATCCTGTGAACTGTGAATCGTCGGATTGTTGGTGTTGCTCGTTAAGTGTAGTAGGTGTCATGCTGGACTCGTATGCGCTGTGCCTTGTGTTTGTGTGTCTTGACTCTGTGAGCGGGAACTTTAACTGAAACTATTCATTTGCTAAAATATTTTTACTTATGCTATTATAATAATTTTGCAGACTTTAGTGTAAGGATAAGTGTTGCCTTGCTATGTGTCTTCGCTTCGCTGTAGACGTGTAATAATATACAACGGTGCTTATACCTTTAGATTAAAAATCTTTTTTGTATTAGAACAATAATATTGAAATAAAATTATAAGAACTTTTATACCTTCGATTTTATCGGGATATGCGACATATTTGGTAAGATATAATTTAGTTATTAGAGTTATAATAAATGATTATCTAAACATAAGGCATTACGCTGCAAGCATCTGGACAATTGCGAAGTCAACGAATTGCTTAGTGACATGTGGTAGCCAGTCCTAACATCTAATAGGCGTAAATCGTAATTATGTCAAATGCTTACTACAGATTAGACAATGTAACTGTAACAATATGTTAAAATAATTCAGTTTACCAACAGTGAAATACATTTCAATAAGTATAGTAACGGGCGATTGGTCTAAGGTTATTACTTCGGCATCTGCAGGGTTATGGGTTGGGGCGGAAATCCCTAGCCTCGACTAGGAAACCCTATTTTAGTTGGATCGTAATACTTACTGTCATATCAACTATATTACGTTTAATTTGGGTCTTGCTCATGTTTAACTTAAACTGCTTTAAATCAATTTATGTGAAAAAAATTGAGTGCTAATAATAATTTGTAAATAAAATTGGACAATTATTGTTGAATTATTTGTCTAAAATAAGTTCGCATGTTTTATGTTTCATGTCCATAAGAACAAGGTCGGGTCTAACGATTTAATAAAATGTTCGCTTCCCGGGCTTGGCTATTAAAATTTTGTTTATGTAAGTGTGCATTGTGTAAACGCTGTGTGTTGTTGGGGTTAGCCGTTAGTGAATCATGCATTCGATTGTTTTGTCGGAGTACTCTGCCAGCTTTCTTCGCTCTCAATCAATGTCCAATATTGACTGAATTTCAACGGAGTTAATATAGAAATAACAATCATAATAATACCAATTATTTAATAAACTAGTCTTACTTATTTATAAGTCAGCACATTTAGGTTAAGCGGAGTTCGTAACTTAACAGTTGTCTATAAATATTTCTCTATGATGAATACATTATGGCTTCTCTATCGATTGTTATCAACCTATTTGTGTTAAACATAATACAGACATAAAAATACAAAGCCGGTACACGATTTGACGTAATCTCTTCAATTAAAACAAATGATATACACACCTAAGTGTAATTAACATCGACAAGTAAATACTAAATATAGGCGTACGTACTTTTAAAGATCAATTGTCTTTAACAATTATCTGTATTAGCATTTCACGTCCGCTTATATTGAATACTTATTGTTTAACACTCACGATTATATTAAAGTAACTATTCATTAAGACTATTTTAGTTTATTTAATTTCAAACTTCGCCTCGATTAAAGCTATGAAAGGATTATTAAACAAAATGAGCAGCAACATGAGCAGATTACGGAGTAAAGAAGGTATTCTCGACGTTTTCACGCAGGATGCTTTTAATTCCGGAAGCTTACTTCGCTCAGGCGAAACTAAAGCAAAAAATTTACACTAAAATGAAAACTCACTGAGAGAATGGAATCATATTTTTGTAACAAAAAGTAAAAATTGTAGAGGACAAATAAAAATCCGGTGTCGGATATTACAGAGGCTGCTTGTTCGCCTGAAATATTAATGAAAACCTCGACTTTGAAATAAACTGAACGAGAAATTGCGAATCCTCTCATAGTACCATTTTGTATGATTACTGAAATATTAAATACTTTTTTAATTTAAATACTTCAATGTCAAATTAAAAATGTCATTTTTTTTCTTTAGTGGCTTAGAGTTGAAAATGTCTATTTATAAATGGAGTACGTTTGACTTTAAGTTTCGACACTTGTAATATTACGAATGATATCTCATATATTTAAACGAGCAACTCTTGTATATATATATAATCTGAATCTCGGAAACGGCTCCAACAATTTTCATGAAATTTAGTACACAGGGGGGTTCGGGGGCGAAAAATCTATTTAGATTAGTCTTTAGTCGGAGAAAACGCGTGTTTTCGAGTTTTCAGGTGGTTTTCTATCGCATTATTCCACACAAAATATGGTCGGTAATTTCGCACATTCTGGCATAAACATCGTGGTCAAGGCGCAAGATCGACAATCATAAATTCGAATCTCGGTCGGATACAAAGTTTTTACTTTTGTCTTTTTTTTGTTATTTTTATATTTATTCAAGTTTTTAGCTTTTTTAAAAAAAAAAAAAGAAAATTGTATTGTAGACCAAACACTCCGAGCGAAGTTCGGTAGCCCAGGTACTTTGAATAATACGCCATGACATACCTATTGATATGTAAAGATGTTTTTTTTTCGTAGTTTACCCATCTTTTATAGCATTTGCGAGAAGTATGTAAGGAAAATATAAGTGAATCTTACTTTATATCAGATACTAGCGGCTCACCCTCGCTTCGCTCGGGTTCGTCGCTAGGTACGTTTTAAATAGATATAAAAAGAAAAAATCTTTCTTTCTCACATTTTAATTATATGTTTTAATACTTACCTATTCCGGACTAAGAGAAATCCAAAAATTAAAATATCATAAAAATTGGAACGCGGTCGAACGGGATAAAAAGTATCCTATGTCCTTCTCCTGGCTCTAAACTACCTCCCTGCCAATTTTCAGCTAAATCGGTTCAGCCGTTCTTGAGTTATAAGCGAAGTAACTAACACGACTTTCTTTTATATATATAGATTAATATTGTCATAAAATCACTTCTTTGGAGGTAATCATTCGAATACTTTTATTGATTTTAAAGTAATTTAGCACTTATATTCATTTGTTGTTCTTAGTATGTATTCAAATCATTAAAATAGAAAACAATACAAGACAACAGCTTCTCTTGTTCAATAAATCCTCTTAAGTCTTGCGAAATTATCTTCGTGGAAATAATAGGATTGGTCCATATAGTAAATAAATAAAGTGGTAAATAGTAATTTTAGAAGATATTAAGAATTGCGTAATTGTTACTATCTTATTTTCTTATAAACAAAATATCCTTTAAAGTACAATATTATATAATACCTGGTTTTTGCTTTAGCATGACAAAACTAAATAAAAAATAAATATAACTGAAAATATGATATCTTTTTAATAGACCATTAAATGTAAAGGTACGCAAAGTACCTACTATGTAGTCGCATTGATAATGCGATTAAAAATATTTCAGATGTCTCCGGGAAAAAATGGGGTGCTACAAGAATAATGA